CTAATGGAAATTTTTCGTCAAAATTTCCGATGGATTTATTTTTTCGTCAGAAATTTTTGACAGAATTTTCTGTCAAAAATTTTTGACAGATTTATACTTTTGTCAGAAATTTCTAACGAAAAATTTCTGACAGAAAATTCTATCAGAAATTTCTGATAGAAATATAAATCCATTAGAAATTTTCGATGGAAATATCCGTCAGAAAATTCCATTGGAAATTTTCGACGGATCCATATCCGTCAGAAATTTTTCATCAGAAATTTACATTTTTCTTGTAGTGTAGGTAGCTAGACTGGTGGTATTCCAAGAACTGCACCAATTGAGGTAGATGTTGAGTCAAGTCTATACGGGGGAAGGGAGGAAAGAATGCAGGCAAAGGAGGTTGCGGGTAGGTAACAAATGCTACAACAACCTCAAAGACTATTTCTTAGGCACCTGTCCAAGATTCAGATCATCATGGCATTCCTAGTCTCTTGAATGTCCAATGGGCTACACTTGTGCACATGCTCAACACTTCAAAAAGGTAGTCTTCTTAATTCAATAAAAAAATTTGAGTGGTAAGTTTGATTCTCTCACTGGATCATCGATATTGGATGCTCGAATAACATGATTGGTAATGCTAGATTATTTAGTCAATTATTTGATGTTTCTCTTATTTTTATTAGGTTGCCTAATGCTAAACAAACCATTGCCACTAAGGAAGGCACAATAACTTTGAACAAACATATGGCGCTCCATAATGTATCATATGTTTTATATTTTTATTGCATTGCTAGCATTCTGTCGGGACCCTAATGGTTGGTCAGGTGGGGAGTGGGAACGCCTACCGTGACCTTGGCCCCTACCTTGTCCTTGGTAGCCGTTTCTGTGAGGTTGGGATCTCTGGACATACTATCCGAGGTGCCCAGCTTGAACAAGCTCTTCAATTCGGTCCCCTAAGTGTCTGACATTGCTAAGTTGTGTGGTCGTAGTTCCTATGATAGCGACAGTGCTTTGACTTATTGGCATTGTCAAGGTTGTGTCCTGGTGGTGGAAGGGTGATCAATTTGGTGCTGCTAGCTTCTTTTAGGACATGGACTCAAGGCGCGTTCAAAGGGAGTGTAGAAATCATACTTTGCACCCTTACTCTGTCGAGGTCTTTTAAATTAAGTTTCGTTCAAGATCCTCAGTTTGTCCTTGTGACCTTGGTCTTGCCTTCCCTCCGATTTTCCGCAAACTTTTTCGCGAAACTCAACATATTTTTCCATCTGAATGTATCCAACGGCACGAGCATAGAGCTCATCCATATCAAGGGGAGGTCGTCGACAAAGGCTATCAACGAAAGGGTCTGGCTTCAACACCATGAGCATAGAGTGTAGGGCGATCTTAGGGTTGAGGTTGCGAATCTTGATGGAGACGTTGGCGAATCGCTCCATGAATTTCCTCAATGACTTGTTCTCACTCTACCTAAGGTTGCCGGGGATGGCAGATGTGATGTGGTGAGGCTGACTTGTCGCATATTGTGCTGTAAATGGCCTTATCAACGTCTCAAAGTTGTCGACTGATCCTACTGGCAATTGGGTGTACCGGCTGAGTGTTGGGCCTTTCAGGGAGGTTGGGAAGACTCGACACATGATGGCACGTCATTGGTGTACAAGTTCATCTGCGTGACGTATGCATCAATGTGTTCGTCTAGGTTGGTTGAACCATCATAAGGATCGATGTTCAAAGGCTTCCAACTTGCGGGGAGGGGTGTCTCCATGATGCCGTCGACGAAAGGATGGCGTTTAACACCCATCCGATGTGTGAGAGCTTGGGTGGGTACATGGCTAACCTTGTGGCCTGAGCGATGCATGGGCACTTGCGATTGATGCATCGTCGGCGGCGACAGAAGTGACTAATGTTTCTCCTCGGGGTGATTACTCTGCTGAGGAGGTTGGTGGAGGGTTGTTGGGGAAGTTAGGCTCGGATGCGCTCGTTTTCTGCACGCAGGGTGTAACGGTAGCCTTCTGCATCCTTTGCTGTCTTCTCCACTAGGTTTTGGTCAGATTGTTGAAAGGCTGTCGAAATCCTCGCCCATAACTTCCAGTTGAGAACTTCCTAGAACCTAGAGCCATATTTGAGAACTTCCCAAGATTTCCTTGTACTGGGTTCCTTGCATAAGTCATCACTTGCTTCCCTCGACCCATTCCACCAACCATGGGTCTTGGCGGTGCATTCCATTTGCTAATAGGAACATTTGCATTTGGCACGAAAGTGTTGCCAAATCTCGACGAATTGTACATCTCCATCTTTCCTACTGGAGCATTGTATTGAGGCATATGAACCTGCCTCATAGTTAACCCAGCATTTGATCCAGCATTAAACTTGGGCTTTTGTCGAAGATTTTCAGCCTTATAGTTCCTCATCATATTTGATTCTTCAAAGGCTCTAGCAGCAGCTCTATCGAAAACAGCGCTGCATCGGGGGCATAACATTACTTCCCTATCAGCCTCTTTCTTTTTAGATAAGAACTCGACTAAGTTATCTCCCTCTTTAGGGTAGATGGGCTCCTGTTCCTTAGCAAAATCTTCCATTAATTCCTCGAGCTTCTCATCAGAAATAGGCTTAATGTTCTCATCATCCTCAACAGCAACGTCCACCATATTGATCCCCATTGTCACAGGTTCCACATATCCAGTATGGGCAGCAAATGGATCAGTGTCCACTTTCATTTCCTTTTCCTCGAAAGCAAGGCGATCATCAGTAATCGCTCTCTCGATCAGATCCCTGAAACGTACACAATTATTAGTCCAATGTCCATACATATTATGATATTTGCAAAATTTCTTCCCTTTCCTTTGCTCGAATGGTGGGATTTTATAATTTTCTGGGAGTACAATTTGTTTATCTTTTAATAAGATATCAAATATCTTTTCTGCCTTACTCACGTCAAAACTATATTTTTTAATCGAATTTCCTTCTATACTATCTCCTGGTTTTAACATCTGACATTGGTACGTAGGACCAGGACGTAACTCTGCTAAGTTAATCTCAAAATCTTCACTCGAAATCTCATAACTAGGATCTTCACCGAATTCAGAATTTTCCAAATAAGCCATTTTTTCTTTTCGAATAAATTTATCAAACTTTCTTAGCCTTTCTTTTTCGAGCTTTATCTGTTCAATCCTCCTAACCTTTTCGGCTAACTGGGCCATATCTCTCAATTGCTCATTTACTAACTTCTTACGTATCGAGAAATCTAACCATGTTGCTGCAATCCTAACTAGTTCATGTTCAGGTATATTAGTATAACATCGAGATTTTAATTGCCTGAACCTATTTAAATAATCATCTAAAGTTTCATGGCTTTGTCTCTTAATGTTCATTAGATCGACTATGCTAACCTTCGTTTCTTCTCTGAAGAAATGTTCATGGAAACTACCTTCTAACTGAATCCAAGTGTGTATCGAATTAGGGGGCAGAGTTGTAAACCAAGTAAAAACATGTTTAGTTAACGAACTTGGAAAATACTTCATCTTTAAATATTCATTGTTCGCTAAGTCCCCACATTCGACTACATATCTAGCTATATGTTCGACTGTAGATTCAGTTAATTCTCCCGCGAATTTTGAAAACTTTGGGATTTTTACTCCTCTAGGTAGTTCTGCTTAGGTTACATAATTAGGGAAGGCTGACACAAAATAAGGACGTTCGTTTCGACCTACGTCGAATCCATGTCTATTTAATATCCTTTCTACCATTTGATCTAAGTTATCATTGGGATTTCTATTAGGTCGAACTACGTTCTGGTGAAAATTCCCATTCCCGCCAAGATTTTCAAACTCATTCAGATTCGCACTCATGGCTCTCGAGGGTGGCCCATCACCTAATTTATCTCCTATTTTTTTTATTAATTCATACAAAGGAGTCATTATATTATGCATTTGGGTTGACAACAGATTAACCATGTCATGATTACTATGATCCATCTGTTGTCGAAGAGCCATCATAGCTTGGTTACTAATACCAGTAGGTATGTAACTACCCTGTCGAATCAGGGAACCCTCCTAACTTGTCCCTACATGTTGATATGGGTCATGCATAACAAAACCCATGCCATTCGGCCCAGGATTATATCCCTGTGGGGATACATGCATTTGTGAATTAGGTCTTATTAACGGTATTGGCATTTCGACATGCACAGGTTGGGTATTTCGCCAATTCTGTGGCATACCCCAGGGATATTCCCTAGTGACATTCGCTAGTTCCTGAGTAACATTTGTTTGCCTAGCTGTGTTTTCGCGTAACACAGGGGATGAAGACGTTGCCCCCTGGTCACATTAGTCACATTATCGGGATTGAAATTTGCTTGCTCTACATCTACGTGATTATTATTGTTCGTTCCTGTTTCTCTATTAGATGTAGACATTGTTCTTACACTCCTAAGTCTCATGCAACACACATACCCAAAACTAGTCCAATTATGTTTGATTTAAACAAGTCCCACTGGGCGTGCCAATTTGTTTACGGTGGAATTTGTTTTATGGATTCTTTTTACTCGAACTAGCACGTAAATGGTTTCAATTTAGGTATTTAATTTGAGAACAGAAGATGGAGTAGGCAAATTTAGTAATTACTTGTTCCTAAAGATTCTTCAATAATAAACAAGCAATAGTTTCCAGATATATAAATGCGAACATGAACACAATGGATAATTGAGATATTTGCAATACAAATCATGGTTCAACTTGCATAATGTTCCAAATTTACAATGCTAAAGTAAGATAACTACGTGGATTAAAAAAGATAAACTAAGAAAACTACGCTAGTTCTACTCCTAAAAAGAAAGAGAAAAGTAGCCGAGAATTAGTCATACCCAAAGACGATTCTGTGCACGAAAGCCATATGCGCAGGCGGAGAGTGCTTGAGAATATAGTTCTAATAGTATGAGTTTTTTCGACCGTTGTGACAATGCAAGCTACTTGAATTTATAGAGTGAATCAATGACGGTTAACTTGATTCCAGTAAGTGTAGAGACCATGGCGGGTCGTTACACAGGGCCACCAGATCATCTTGGTGTTAGGTGCGCATGGCCTCAAGGTCTTCAACATTTTGTTATCGTAATTGTTTGATCTGCTCAATTAATCGTCGAAGTGTTGCATCTCCTTCCATCCTTAGCACGTTCTGATCTTTGTCATCTATTGCTCTTTTATTGTGGCTTCGGGTAGAAACCATAAGGTTGGCCGAAGAAGGGGAATTTGTCTTCGGCCCCACGGTGGGCACCAAGATATTCTCACATGAAGTTGGTTTAGTGATGACCTCTTCGATGAGATTGGTGAGCCTCCTCTTCTTCGCGAGTTGGACACTCCAAGATAAAATGAAAGATGCTACATATAGTAGAGTTGTTGAGATGCTAAATTTGAAAGATGTTACATGAGAAAAGTTTGGAAAATAAAATGAGTCAAAATTTTGTCTACAAATAAAAAATAAAATTCAAAATAATTAGAAACTAAAAATATATTTAACCTAAAGTAATAAATATGTCAACACAGATATGTTATTTATATATAGAATAAGATATGCTTTTATTTTTTTAAAAAAATAAAATTCAATTTTGAATTTCTAATATTTTAATTTTTAATTTGAAAATACAAATTTTTTGGTCACCAAGTAGTTTAAAAAGGGCTTAAAATGGTTATAACTTATAAGCTTTGTCTAAACTATTTTAAAACAAAAAAAAACATTTTTAAATTAAAAAAATAGAATAAGATAAAATATTTGAGAAATTAAATCCGAATCTAAGAAAAAACTGAGAAATCCAAAAATGTCAAATTTCTTATCCTATTGGGACCAGAGCCGTGTAGTGTAAAAAATGACGTACGTATCAGCCAATAGTCATCAGTGATTCAGTCTATCACCCTTTAATTTCTTCTTTGACAACGTTACTAAAGATATTTGTCTAAAAAAAATATTATTTTACTAATTAAGAATTGTTAAATCAGGACCGACCAATATATTTGTACGTCTGAAACAATTTTAAAACGAGGTATTTTTAAAATTAATAACAATATTTAAAAAAATTTAATAAAGTAATTATATTTTTATTGAATTAATATATTAATATATTTAAATAATAGAAATTTTAAGAATCATTCTATTTAAAACAGACTTTTAATATGGTCAATTAAGAGACTTTAATATAATCAATGAAGAGATATTTTTATTAGTTTAATTTAATGCATAATATTTTTTAAGTAAAATAAATAACTAAAAACTTATGAACTTTACAAAAACGATATAAATATTAATATTAAATATTGCCTTTATAAAGTATAGTAATCTTATAGCTGAGCCAGCCCTGATTAAACATTAATACTCTATTTAGATTACGTAAGAAAATATAAAAAGAAAGGAAAAGAAAAGGAAAAAAAGTAAAAAGTAAAATAAAATAACTGTTTAGTTATGCTATAGAAAAGAAAGGATAACGAAAGAATGGAAGACAAAAAAAATTGTAGTATTAATAAAATAAAATAAAATTCTCTTCATATAAATACGATATAATAATTTTTGTTTCTAGAATCTAGACCCTAAGTCCTAAACTATATAATAATTGTGATGATATTTTTAATAAATGTAAATTCCTTTCTTCTCTCTTTTTCTCTCCATCACCCATAGGCTAATGGTTGAATTAAACTTCTTTCACTACAAGAAATTCATTAAATAGAGACTTATTTAGAGACCAAATTTATATAGTTACTTTAGCAACTTATTTAAATACTATTTTAGAGATTGATTATAGTTGGTCCCTAATTCAATCTCTATTGTCATTAATATTTTTAATGTAATTAGAGACCAAATTTTTAGTAGCTAATAGTTTAAAAAATATTATTTATTTATTTAGGTACAACATTTTTAGTCTCTAATTAAAATATAATTTGAGACAAAATTTTTGGTCACCGTTAAAACACTTTAGAAACCAATATTTTAGTCTTAAGATGCACTAAAATTAGAGACTAAATTTTCTAGTCTCTAATTGTAATATTACTAGAGATTGATTTTTTGGTCACTATTAACTCAATTTAGATACCATTTTTTAGTATCTAATTGTTCTATATTAGAAACCAATTTATTAGTCTCTAATAAAAATATAACAAGAAACTAATATTTCAGCTAAATTATTTTAGACACAAAAATATTTGATCTCTAAAAAAAATACACTAATAAATAATAATTAATTTTTTATTCACTATTAGCTCATTTTAGATTTTCTTTAGTATCTAATACAGAAATATAATATACAACTAATTTTTCACTCATTATTAATTTATTTTAGATAAATTAGATTCTCATTAAAATACACTAAACATTGATATTTTTTGTCATTGTTAACTCATTTTAGAAACTATTTTTTTAAGTATATAATTAAAATTAATAAAATTAAAATATTAATATTATTTATATAATATTTTGTTGTATAACTATCAAAGCGTAATCTTTAAATTTATATTTTATCTAATTTATCAAAACTCAAAATTTTCTAAAGTGTATGACATGAATATATATCGATACCATTATTATCTGATTAATTATCTACCAAAAAAAATAAATTAGAAACCTAAAGCATCAAAGATCTAGCCTGTAAGAGATGGGTTTCAAGGACTACTGAATAGTTTAATAATAATGAACAAAGGTGAACCTTTTGAAAAAAACATTAAAAAAAATGAATCAATACATTTTCGTTTTGACACGAAGAGCCTCCATGAGAAACGAAACTACGCGTCGAATATAGGAGCATCCACGATTTTTTCTTGTCCACGTGTGGAGTGTTCATCTTTAAACCCTCACCCTCACCTTTACCTTCTAATTTCGATTCTCGTGTTTAGGCCGCTAAGGAGGTCACCTTCCTTGAAGAAGCTTCATTTGAACCGATGTGTTCATTCAGTGCTACGGAAGGTGCGCTGGTTTCCGATCAAGAGCTGGATTATGCCGCCGCATTTGAGCTTTACTGGATTATCTCGTGTTTGTGTGTTTTGATTGTATTCTTGTGGATTTGAATTTTGATTTGGGGCTGATTGGTGTTTGGATGTTGTTCTTGTACAGGTGCTTGATTCGATATGCGATGAAGGGCTTCAGGCAGTGGCTGTGGCTTGCAAGGACTTTATAAAGAGATTAACATAAGTGAGATTCAATTAGTTCTTTATGTATACAAAGTTGATTATTGAAGTGTTAGAAAATATCAAAATACGGAGTCATGTTTTAATCAGGAAAAAATTGACTTGAGAAACGAAAATAAAAATTAAGAGAACTGAGACTTATTGATATGCGTGGCTCTTATCTGTGTAGAACATTCGTGGAGGACGAGTGGTGCTGCACCCTATTACAAGTCCTCCCTCAGAATTTGAGCATTCGGAGAAAGGAGATGCCTTGTATGGTGAGTTTGTTGTTTTCTATGCTCAAGCTTCTATTCTATGTTTAGTTACATAACACTGAATGTTTTTTTCTCTGCATAAATTTGTGCTATACATTTTCATTTATCATATTGACATGTTTAAATCGATATCTATGCTGACTTGGTTTTCTTTTTTCCTTTGATTCAGCCATGGAATTAGCTTTGTCTTTGGAGAAGTTGACAAATGAGAAACTTCTGCATGTTCATAGTGTAATGCCTGTAGCTATGGAATGAATTTGTTTTCTAACAAAATCACAGATTATTACAGCTATAGTTAACGATGCTAAATGGCCAATTAATTTGAGTTTTGTGCTTGGATAGTGTCTTGTTAAGAAAATCTCTCTTTTTTCTGAACAATAGGTGGCAAGCCGTAACAATGATCCTCAACTGGCAGATTTCATAGAGAGCGAGTTTTTGTATGAGCAGGTAAGATACTCCTTGACCATTGAATATATGATATGATAGCATTTTTCTATCAAAATTTCAGTACTGTTAAAGCCAATTTTCAATAACATCATGATTACATTTGCATTATTACATAGAATGTAATCTCGCGTTTGTAATATCTTGTTTCCCTTTTTACAGGTTAAATCGATTAAGAAGATTGCTGAGTATGTGGCCCAACTGAGATTAGTTGGAAAGGGTCATGGTATGCATATATAATCTCTTCAATGGCCCCATAAAATTTTTCTTTTCATTTCACTTGCTATTGGTCAACATGGCAAATTAGTATGTGACTGTTTTACATTACATATTAATTTATTTTAGATAAATCGAGCTATAATTAAAAATTAATATAAATTTAAATTATTAATAAAAATCATAAACATTCAATTATATTCTATTTTACTTTATTTTTAATATTTTTTTAAAATAAATATCAATCTTTTTGATAATTATCAAAGCCCAATTTTTAAACTTATATTTTGTCTAACTTACCAAAGCCCATTGTTAATTTTTAGAAATATAATATGTAACTAATTTTATAACTATCAAAGCCTAATCTTTAAATTTTTATTTTTAAACTTATAAAAACTCAAATATGGATGGACATAAACATTGTTTTAGAGACAGATGGTTAAACAATTGGTTTCTAAAATGTATCGCACAAATATATACTTATACAATTATATTATATTTTTATTTTTTGAAAAAAAAATGAAATATTTGCGTGTTGAGATGAAGAGCCTCCATTAGAAGCACAAAATTACGGGTCAAGTATAGGAGCATTCACGATTTCTTCTTGTCCACATGTGGAGTGTTCACGTGGCCAATGAGGATACAAGAAAAAGCACAGAATGGAGCGTCTTATTAAAAAGTAACGTGGAGTAACAGAAAAGTGGAGTAACAGAAAAGATGCTTGTGTGGTATGAGTCTTCTCCATTCTGATTTCTCTCTCTCTGTAATATTCATTTCTAATTCTCATTCTGTGTTTTTTTAGTTTCACATTTATCCTTTTTTTTTCTTATGTGATGATAATGGATATCGTGGATTCTTCTATAGTCTCGCTCTAATGCTTGTGCCATAGCCATTATCTCCTCAATTTCCTCGAGGTATTTTTCTCATTATTTGTGGTGCTCGAGATATTTTTCTCACTATTTATGATATATCACAATGTCTATTATAGTTGTTTACTTGTATTATTGAAATTATTGATATTCTTTTGTTAATTTTGAGCTGTTTTTTCAAATTTTGAGTTTTGAAAGTTGTTTGGATTGATGTCTAATTTTTCTTATAATTGAAACCTTTAGTTGTTCTTAATTGTTCCTAACTTTCTGTATACAATTTCTATTGTTCTTAATTGTTCCTAACCTTTAGTGTGGTGGCTTAAGTGGATTTATTAATGCCAAAAAAATTCCTACGGTTGTAATCCATTGCAACCTAGTAACTAATACAGAAGGCCACTAGGAATTCTATAATTTTTTTTTCAAGAGGAAATTGCATAGAATTTTTCAAGAGTCAACGGACTTACCTTAAACAGGAAAGTCTAGCTAATATAAAATAACTGATCCTCCTATTCCTCTGTATGAATTTGGACTCGAATGCATACGTGAGAACAAAAGAATTCACTTTAAAACAACTCTCAAAAGGAAACAAAAACAAACTAATCTAATAATAATAATAATAATAACAATAATAATAATAATAATAGCAACAACAGAGAGAGAGAGGTATCTTTGGAATAAGAAAGAAATAAAAAAAGATTAAAACATTGCTTAACATTTTAGATTTATATTAATTATAATATTTTTATACACAACAGAAGATGGATATTCGGCAAAGTCGTGGTTGGATGTATGATAGACTAAAGTTTAATATGCATCCGCTAATAAATGGATATGATTCGTTGGATTTTTCTTTAAAGTTTAATATGCATCTGCTAATAAATTGGTTGGATTTTGCTTTAAAGTTTCATTGTTCTAGATTGTAGATTGTAGATGTAGGTGCAATTTAAAACCTTGCTTTTGAGTATGCTGACATGTTGATTTTTAAGTGGTTTTTAATACTAGTGAGAATCAATGATCTGTGAAATCTTGAGTTGCATCGTTTTTAATCTGCTTTTTCCTTTTAAGTTGCTTCCTTCAATTCATTGAGGATTTTGATGTTTGCAATTTGCACTATGTACTGACTTTGATACCAAATAAAGTATAGACCCTAAGCTTAGAGATCTAATTGTGGATCGCTTTTATTTTTGTGTTAACAAACTTCTGGTTTAGGTTATAAATAAATCTAGAAATGAAAACGAGATTAAGTTCAATTATTTTGAAGCTGAATTCCAATATTCAATTACCAAACCCCAATAAGGGTCAAGCCACAAATATGATATTCACCTATGTTTGCTAATTTATGTACTGCTTTGTGTGACAGAATTGCTTATATTCGAAAAAGTTAAACAATTATTGTAGAGAGTTTTAGGCTTTTAGTACTTTTCTATTGATAAAACATTTATATTGCAAGGTTTTATTGTATTGATTATTGATTCTGTTTGTCTTTTGCATTTGTGGTGTTTGCTAAGAAGCATACTACACGCTTCCTAAAAGGTTGCCTTTCAAAATCGTATTGGACATTCATTAGACATTTGATGTGTAATTGAGACTTATATTTAAGAGTGTGGGACAATTCAAATTCTAATTTTGCTATATGACAATCTTTGCCTTTTGTGTCCATTGTGTGGGTGTATGACTCTTATTGTTGTATGACTATTCAAATTCTTGTACTGAATTTTGTGTGCCTCATGATTGCAGGAAATGGGAAAAATGCTTGACAAGGAAGAAGTTAGGCTTTCCAAGGAACCATCTTTATGTAATGAAACAATTACTATTGTTGTTCGAATGCTAGATGGTCATCGTTTAAACATCGCTTTCTCAAATAGATAGTGAGGATTGTATGTTTGGTGGATATTATGTGTAGTTTTAAAAAATTAAAAAATTTAATTACTTAATTTTCATGTTATTATATAGTGTATGATGACTTTTTGCATAATAGTTTAACATAAAATAAATATGTGAAGTAAATAAATAATTAATATTATACTTAAATAATTATTATGTTTTAGTAGAAAAATAATTGAAGTTAGGTATGTGGTGAATTTGAATAAAGAAAATAATAAATATGAAAGAAAATGGCATAAATAAGAAAGATGAATAAGGAAAAATTTTAGCGACTACTTTTTTTTTATATATTATATCAGTCACTTTGAATCATTGAAAAATGGGTCACTAATTCAATTATTTTAAAATTTGGTCACTAAAATGGTTACTTTAGAATTAGTTATTATATCAGTCACTAAGTTGATTATTATAAAATAAGTTGCTAAGTTAGTCATTATAAAATAGGTTACTAAATTAGTTGTTATCAAAATTGGTATCTAAATTGGTTACTATAATATTGGTAATTAAAAGAGTTGTTATAAAATTGGTCAATGAGTTGGTCATTGTAGAATAAGTTACTAAGTTGGTCAATATAAAATTAGTCGCAAAATTGGTCATAAAAAAATGGTCATTAAATTAGTTTTTAAATTAGACTTTAGATTGGTAGCTAAAATTAGCAACCAGTGGTTTAGCTACTTTCTATAATTGGTATCTAATTTAGTCACTTATTGATTTAGTAACTGATTTTGTTAATTTAGAGACTAAAAATTTTGTCTCTAAAGACAAGTTTTCTTGTAGTGTTTATTTTCATCACCATAAACATTAAAATTGTTACATATGTTCAAGAATCGTTACATAAGGTAGCATTAATTATTTTATTCATATTATGATGTCCCAGCTTCAATTAACAGTAGAATTCACTTCTATTTACATTTTTTTAATTTTAAAATAAAAATTAAGATAATAAATATATAAGTTAGCCGTCCCATTTTTTTGAAAACTAAAATTCATAATATAGATATAAGCATGTGATGCACTCAAAGCAGCAGGAAAAAAAAAAAACAACAACAACAACGACTCAAATAGAAGGGTGAATTACGAGTCTTCACCAATTCTCATTTATCTAAAGATTCTGGAAATCTGACCTAAAATAATTAAATTAGTTTGTTTTATTATTATTTTTTACTTTAAATTTGAATAAGATGAACTATAATTTGTTTGGTTATCAAATTAGTTTGTTTTTTATTTTTTATTTTTTATTTTTGAAAATTAGTTTACTTAAAGCTGCGATTTCAACTTTTGGAAATAATCTCAACCAAAAAAAAATAAAAGAAAAAATATAAGTTTTGAAAAAAATCAAATAAGACATAATTATGATACCTACTCAGATGGTACTTCTTGCCATTCTTGTCATACGATAATTCTACACTGCATGGGGTTGTAACCAAGGACGGAGCCAAGGGGGGACCTACGGGTGCCACGGCCCCCCCAACAATTTTAATTTTTTTTTATATACATATATATTACTATATGGCACCCCCTATTTTTAATATAAACTCATATGTATAATTAAATGAATAACCCAAATTTATTTTTTTATTCAACTTTTGGACTTCTGGTACGGCCTGCTATGTGGTATCACTTTGGAATTTTTTTTTTTTAAAAAAATGTAGCGCCTCATTTGATCATTCCAATTCTCGGCCCCCCAGTATTGAAATCCTGGCTCCGTCCCTGGTTGTAAAGTCAAAAAAAATTAGCGTGACTAACTTAAATAATGACGCATCAGGCACTTACGGCTTTGTTTTCTTCCTTTAAGTAGAAACTACCACTCACCTTTCATGTCGATAATTTTACAATTGAGTTAGACCGACCTTATCAAGAAGCCGTCTATTATATACACTATATATAGCAAGAAAGCATATATATGCAATGTACAAGATATCCTCCTACGCCATGGATCTGCAAGATTCAAGAGGATTATTTACCATCTTTTTGGGGGTGCTTTTATTTCTCTTTGTTGTTTCATCCTTATGGAGGAGGCGCAGAGTGGAAAATAGGAAAGCACCACCAGAAGCTAGTGGCGCGTGGCCTTTGATTGGCCACCTCCACCTTTTGGTTGGGTCACAACCACCTCACGTGACGTTGGGCAACATGGCGGACAAACATGGCCCCATATTCACCTTGCGTCTTGGTGTTCACAAAACACTGATCGTGAGCAACTGGGAAATGGCCAAACAGTGTTTTACCGTCAACGACAAAGCGTTTGCTAGTCGTCCCAAAACTTTAGCCACTGAACTGTTGGGCTACAACTTCTCCATGTTTGGATTCAGCCCCTACGGTTCTTATTGGCGTCAGGTGCGTAAGATTGTTACCACAGAGCTCCTTTCTATTCACCGAGTAGACATGCTCAAGCACCTGATGGAATCAGAAGTGAAGGCAGTATTTAAAGAGAGTTACAAGAATTATTCCAAAAAAGGAGTGACTGAGATGCAGAGATGGTTTGGGGACATATCCTTTAACATAATATTCAGAGCAATGCTAGGAAAACGTTTTGCTAGTGATGATAAACATGAAGAGAACGAACAAATCCGAAGGGTAATGAGGGACTTCGTTGAACTTGCGGGGACATTCGCTGTCTCCGATGCTCTTCCGTATTTGAGATGGTTGGATTTGGATGGAGTAGAGAAGAAAATGAAGAAGACGGCGAAAGGGGTAGATGGTTTTGTTCAAGTTTGGCTTGATGAACACAAACGCAACAGGAGTCGTGATTCAGGTGAACGGAAAGATGAGGATTTCATGGACGTGCTTCTTACCCTTGTTGACGAGGGTGAAGACTTTGACGGCCGTGACATTGATAGCGCAATCAAAGCTACATGCATGGTATGTGTCATTATTTATATCTTTGTATAAATCCTAAATTTTAAACTTAAATCTAACAGAATTTTTTTTTATTTTAGTGTATATATTATTGTTAACAATTTTAATTTTAAAAAAATTATACAATAATTTTTTATAAAGATAAAAGAAAGTCTTTTGATATAAATATTTATTTTAATAATCATTTACTACTTGTGATATTCAAACACCGAATGTCTTTTATATACTAAAGTGTGTATATATATAAAGGGATTCATTTATTCTAAGAATAAGTCTACTTAAGTTTACTCCACTTAATAATCATGTTCTATATTAAATTTTAATAATCTAATCATTAAATTTAAAATTCTTATTGTATAGATCAAAAAATTTAAAAATTATTTGATACTTCATTTTATTAATTTGAATCAATATATAAAATTTTATGATTATCCGTTAATTTGAATTAATGAAATAAAGTATCTAATGATAAATTAATGAAATGAAATATCAAATTATTTTTAAAATTTGCAAACTTGATATATGCATTAAGAATTTTAATTTCAACGGCTAGATCATTGAAAGTTTATGTAAAACATGAGTTATTGAACGAAATAAGTTTAGGTAAATTTACTTATAGAGTAAATGGATTTTTTTTCTCTCTCTCTATATATATATATTACTTTAAAAGTTATTAATTTTTGTAATAATTATTTTATTATATTATCTTTCATCTTAATTATAAATAACAAATTATTTTTTATCTAATTATAAGTAACAATCATTAGATTTTAAAGTTATATTCAAAAATAATTTTTTTATACTCTTAATTTATTGTTAATTTTATTTCTTATGCATTCACTTATAATTAATATTAAATATTACAATCACTTAAAACAAAAAAAATCTTTAGAATAAAATTAATGTGGTAAAATTAATTAAAAATAAATAATTTAATTATTTTTTTAGTATTAATAATTTGTCCTATGTTACTTATAATTAGAATTAGGATAATAATATTATTTAAAAATTTAAGAACGTAAAAACTTATATTGACAGTGAATTAAAATTAAATTGTTAAGTGAAACTCTTGACTTACTCTTGTTGAAGGATAGTCGTGGGAGTTTGTTTTGTTACTTTTCCGATGAATAAAAAAAATGTTGTGATAATGTCATTTTCATCTGTTCTATTATTCATAAATTTCAAATTATTGATAATTTTTTTAATTGAGTTAAGAATTTTGTTAAAATTTTCTTACTTAAAATAGTCTCTCATAAAAACACCACTTACATTATATATTTGTAGAATTTAAATTTCACCGTTGTCCATTTTGTCATTTTGATTCGATTAAGTTGGTATATAGAAGTATAACAATAAAAATGTTTTAATTATTGTATTTTGTAGGCTTTAATTATAGCAGGTACAGATACAACAATAGGAACATTAACTTGGGCTCTTTCATTACTTCTCAACAATCGTGAAATTTTAAATAAGGCTGTCCACGAATTAGACGCAAAAGTTGGGAGAGAGAAAGTAGTTGATTTATCAGACTTGACAAAGTTAGAGTATATGCAATCTATTATCAAGGAAACACTTCGTCTGTACCCACCCGCACCACTTAATTTGATACATGAATCTATGGAAGATTGCATTGTGGGTGGATATCACGTGTCAACTGGAACACGTCTTTTGACAAACATTTCAAAACTTCAACGAGATCCTTTATTATATCCTAATCCCTCAGAGTTTCGACCAGAAAGATTCTTAACAACTCATAGGGATATCGACTTCAAGGGTCGACATTTTGAATTGATTCCATTTGGTGCTGGCAGAAGAATGTGTTCCGGAATGTATTTCAGTCTTCAAGTAATGCAGCTAACACTTGCTACTCTACTACATGGATTTGACATTATAACTCCTGATGCAAAATCTGTTCATATGTCTGAACAAATTGGGTTAACCAGCATCAAGGCTTCCCCGCTCCAAGTCATTCTTACACCACGTCTCTCTACTCATATTTATGATGAAATTTAAATGGTTAAAGATAATGGAGTGTATCAGAATATTAATATGTAGCGTACCTACTCTACTTAAGGATTTTAATTATCGAATTACATTTTCTTACAAGTTTTTTATGGTGTGTCTGTGTATATATAATATATTGAAGGGTATGTGTTTACGGTGGAATTTGTTTTATGGATTCTTTTTACTCGAACTAGCACGTAAATGGTTTCAATTTAGGTATTTAATTTGATAACAGAAGATGGAGTAGGCAAATTTAGTAATTACTTGTTCCTAAAGATTCTTCAATAATAAACAAGCAATAGTTTCCAGATATATAAATGTGAAGATGAACAGAATGAATAATTGAGATATTTGCAATACAAATCATGATTCAACTTACATAATGTTCCAAATTTACAATGCCAAAGTAAGATAACTACGTGGATTAAAAAAGATAAACTAAGAAAACTACGCTAGTTCTACTCCTAAAAAGAAAGAGAAAAGTGGCCGAGAATTAGTCATACCCAAAGACGATTCTGTGCACGAAAGCCATATGCGCAGGCGGAGAGTGCTTGAGAATATAGTTCTAATAGTATGAGTTTTTCCGACCTTTGTGACAATGCAGGCTACTTGAATTTATAGAGTGAATCAATGACGGTTAACTCACTCAAACGCTCGTGCACGTAGGCCATTATGAGATAACCGCTACCCACTATGCTCATTATGTGGCTTCTAAAGTGTAACTTCCCATAACCGTTCTTCGCGTATACTAACTTCTCGACTTGGACGCTAACTGTCTTTGTATGATCATAAGCACCTACACAACTTCACCAAATCTCGAACATTGTTCAACTCGAAATAATTGTCTTCGATCTCGAATCAGCTGTTATTGGCAGGAGTTGATCTCAATATTTTTCGAGAAGTTTTATGTATGCTTCAAACTTTTCGACTATATTTCTAGCACGAATACATAAAACTCCTAATACGTTCCAGATAGGTGTTCATCCTCCTCCATCTTTCGATTAGCTTCATAAGTACATCTTTCGATTTCCCTGGTTTTCGAGTAGTCTCAACAAATGCCCCCTAGGAATTCAATCTTGATGTGTACATCAGCCAGAAAGATTCGAGTTCCTATCGAAGTTTGTTATTGACGTTTGGATAGTGTATCGTTATATTTGTTCGATTAAAATCTATCCCTGTCTCATTTAATGCTAATGACCGTTTGATGGGAAATTGATTACCCTGACGGCGCGTGTTCACTCTGTTCCATAAATTTGTCATTGGGGAAAATCTTTTGGCGGCTGTTACGGATATTCAAATTAATCATTTTAATTTGTTTGCCAAGCCCATTTGTCTCAAGCCCACCAAAACGTTCAAAACCTTGTTTTTACCTTAGGGTTAAAATACTTTCACCGTTTGCCAAGCCCATTTGTCTCAAGCCCACCAAAACGTTCACAACCTTGTTTTTACCTTAGGGTTAAACTACTTTCATCATTGTCTTCCTTCGCGCCCAAGCCTTCTCTGCTTTCTCTCCTGCCGTGTTTCTTGATTTTCTTCCCCGGCGAACTCTGAGTGTTTTGCTTTCTCATTCGCTTTTCTTCTCCGTTCCAAGTCCTTTGCTTTCGTGCTTCAATGGCTTCTTCTGCTGCATCCACTTCCGCTGCCGTAGCCTTCACTACTTCTCCTACTGCTGTCTCGGCTTCATCTCCGGTTCTGGCAACCACAAGCTCGTCCGCTATGACTCCTGTAACCACCATGGCCACTGCTACTGCGGCCTTTACTCAGATGGGCCCTCTCCTGATGGCCAATGCCCAAATCTGCAAGGTTCCAGATGGGGATGACACCTTTGTCCCTATTCCTGGTATGGAGGAGGCAAGCCTAAAGATCTTTCAATCTCAGGTACCGCTTCCTTTCTCTCTTGAAGATGGTAGTGTGCATGCTTTCCTAGGGCCCTTCGTAGGTCAGAATAAGAAGAAATTCCCCAATACTTTGCTGCCTGAAGATGATTCTACCCTCCCCTTTATTCATTCTGCTGAGATAGACTTATCATTGTTTGGAGACACCACTAAAATCTTTAGAGCCTTTCCTCCTATTAAAGATAGGCATTTGTCTTGGTTAACCCGTATAGAGAATGAAATGAGTGCTTCCTGGATCGAAACTGGTATTTTTGACTTTCTTCAACTTGCTAAGTTTGATTTACATCTTTTCGACCCCCAAATGCTTCTCTCTGCCATTTTCTTTTGGAATAGAGAAACTCGGGCTTTCGAGTTCCCTTGTGGCTTTGTGTGCCCTACTTTGTTGGATATCGCAGCAATCACAGGATTGGCTCCCATAGGAGAAAGGTTCCACCCTGATATTCTCGAGGAAGAAATCCCAATCAAGGAAATTTCCATTTCGTGGGACAAGAAGACTTATCTGGCTTTTATTACTGCCCACGTAGGACAATCGGGGACCTCTGTTTCGACTTCTGAGCATATCGCATTTCTAATATACTGGTTATCTGCATGTGTCTTCTGCACTCCTTCACTTCAAGTTCCAAAATACTACTATGCCCTGGCTCAAGCTTTACACTCGAAAAAGCGAATATGTTTGAGAAAACTTCTACTAGCTTCTTTATATACTTGTCTTGATGAAGCCTCCGAGAGCCTTTTTCGAGAAACTGGTCCTCGAAACCTTTCGGGACCCTTATGGCTACTTCAACTATGGCTCAACGCCATTTTCGAGAAAAAGCTTCCTTTGACTTCCTCATTTACTCCACCTTGTACACTGGAAGGAGCTTGTTTAACCACTCTTACTCCTCGAAAACGCTCCCCCCAGAACTTTGCCAAATACATAGAAGCTATCTTGAGTTTTACACACTTCAGTGAAGACTTGGCACCTTTCATTCGAACTACCTTGATGGGTCCTTCTTGGCTTCAACAGAATAATCAAGTGGGGCACATATCTCGAGACTCTCTCGAAATGTGGTTTGGCTTTCTTTCATGGGATGTTATATTTTCAGGAGTGCGCCCAAAAGACGTTCGAATTTACCCTTATCAGCCTCAACTCTTCGCCCGGCAGTTTGGGCTTTGACAAATGAAACCCCTTCCTCTTCGACCTTCAGAAAGTATTGATGCCGACATTTGTGTTGAAGAAGGGAATTACCAAGAAGTGCTAGATTTTATACTTCATCCTGACACAGAACTTGAGCTCACACCTTCTACTTTCTCTCTTTCTTTCTTAGTTTCGAGATGTTACCTTCGATGGTGGTGTGCCTATTATGTAGATAGACTTCTCAATTTTGATGTATTTTTGAAGAAGCTGATTAACTCTCCCTTTCCTTCGCAGGGTCCCAAACAATCAGGTACTTTCAAGAATCGAACTATAATTTATCAATTTGAACAGTTTTTTAAGGTTTGTTATCGACCTGACAATGTTAGTCGAACCATCTATGACGCATCTGTCTCATTATCGAAAATGGTACAAAGGAACATCCGCTCAAAAAAGGTAATAAATCCTCGAGGTAAAACTGATTTTGAAAAATTTTGTCCAAAACACATACCTCCTCTTCCAAATGCTCTTTTTGGTTTAGTTAAATATTTATCTCACCCTCCTTGGGTGAAGACACTCGACCTGTTTTACCTTGAGCACAAAGAGATTCCTGTAAAGAATCGAGTTACCTATGCGAGATGTTCCGTGTATGATTTTCCTCGACGTAGATGGTGGCCACTATGTTGGCTCAATAACATTAACCCTCCTCCTGGTAAATAACTTTAGCCAAACTCCTCCTCGAATTTTGTTTTGTACTTGTCTCATCTTCTTCCTCGAATTTCGCAACTGCCATTCCTCAACGTGTTCCACAACATGTTGAGCAAACTTCCAATTGGGAGAGTGATGATGACGAGAATGATACTAAAGAGTCATCAAAGAAAGGTCAAAAAAGAAAGACCGCTGCTGACAAGGTTTCTCTACGTTCCAAGGTACCATTCTTTTCGATTTCACTCTTTGCTAAGACTCTTAGAATATTTCACCTTACTTTTTTGGGCTCTTCCCTTGCAGAGTATTGAAACCTCGAAGAAACAAAAAGTGGGCTCAAACAGTACTAAAACTGTAAGTAAATTGACCCACATACCAGTGTTACATTCCTTCTCGAGTTTTTAGCAAATAAAATTATTTTCACTTTCAGGTCTCGACCACGAAAAAGCCTGATAAAGGGAAGGGAAAGTTGGTAGTCTCCCATTCCAAGAAGGTTCAGAAGCCTCTGACTGTGAAGCTTCTTCAAGATGCTATGAAATCGGTGCCTAAGGTATTTTCATTCTTGATTTCGACTGAATTCCCTTATTAAGTAGACATTTATAAAATGCTTTAAGCACTTTATCCATTTATAGGGTGCGGAAGTCATCCACATCGACTCCTCTCGAGAAATGTCGAGAGATATTCCTTCCCTCACTGGGTCATCTCAATAGGTTAGTTCTTTTCTTTTAGTTTTTGTTTTTTCTTTCCAAGAACTTCTTCTAATTTTATGATTTATTTGTAGTTGGCCAACTCTCAATTAGATGTTGTTACACTTGCTTCGGTTATGGCCTCGATAGAGGTCCCTCCTCGAGTCGAGGAGAAAGTCCCTCCTCAGGTCGAGGAGGATAAAATTCTTCAATCGGAACCCATAGCAAATGTGGCAACTCTACAAGACTCTGTTCAAGGTGAACCCTCTTTTGCGCTACAACCTCCCTTGAGTCCGGACAAGGGTATATTTCTTTCGACTGTACAATTTCATCATGATTCTTAATAACATCATCTTATATATTCTCTTTTTTGTACAGGTTCGACTGAGTCACCTCGAACTTTCACTGCTTCCCCTTCGACTCAAGGTGGTGCCACTTCTTCTGTTCAAGCCCTTTCTTCAATTCCTTCCACGGATCTGGATTTGATGAGCTTTTTCAACGAAGAGGATGAAGACATCGAAAATATTTTCCAGGTCTTGGATAACTAGACGAGTGGCCCCTCTGGTTTAGAGAAGGAAAAAGACAAAGTTGTCGAGCAAACTTCTGAGACACCTTCTTATCAACCCCTGCTCGAATCTTTTCGCTCAAAAGCCTATGTTGAAGACCTTGATCAATCTTTTCTTATCCCAGAGTTTAAGACAGAGGTTGAGCAGATGGTGGAAGACTTGTTGTCTTATCCAGATCTTCCTCCTGAAGTCCATTTCGAACTGCAAGAATTTATCAAGCCCTTCAGCCTCGCATGGGATTTTCGAGCTCAATGGTCCACTGCCTTCCAAGAAGTGTCTCATATTGAGATCGAAAGCGAGGGTGACCGTGATAAGCTCGAGAGCCTTCGTGAGGAGTTGATTTCCATCAAGAACTCGACGGCAGAAATGATTTCTTCCTTGCAGCGATTACAAAAAGAGGGGGAGGATATAGAAACAACCATCAAGAGTCTTCAACATGAATTGGACAATACCCGCTCGAAGAAAGATGGTATCAAAGTCAAAAGCCAAGAGATCAAGCAACGTCAAAAGGATCTCAAAGATGAAGGCAAGGCCATATCCTCTCGACTTGCGAAGACCTTGGAACAGAAGAAACACTTGGAGGCCAATGCACTGCTCGAAGACAAAGCCTGGATGAAGCTTATAAGTCTTTCAAAGATTTTAGATCAAAATTTTGTAATAATTAGATTTCCCTTTTCTATCTTTACTTTTATTTATCCTTGAACAATCAAAATTCTACCCTTTTATGAAAGCACTTTAAATATTTCCCATTTATTACTTTGCTTGCATTCGAATTTAATTCTCTAATCACATACGCATTGCTCGAATATACTTGCTCAACTATAAAGGGACCTTCCCAATTATATGACCACTTCCCTAAGTATCGAGATTTTTGGTCTATGAGAAGGATGACTTTTAATACCAAGTCCCCAACTCGGAATCGTTGTATTTTGACCCTCTTATTATATGATTTCTCGACTCTTTCTTTTTGTTGAACTAGGTTTTGCAATGTAATTAATCTTTCCTCCTCTAAAGAAATCAATTCATCATACATTAAATTCCAATAATCCTCAATCGGTAATTCATTCTGTTTCTGTATATGAATTGATTGCAAGTTAATATCTATAGGAAGAATAGCCTCGTGCCCATACACTAGTTTATATGGGGTAGTTTTTGTAGCATCTCTCAGAGAATTTCTGTAAGCCCATAATACTTGAACGAGAGTCTCATGCCAGCTTCGAGGCTTGCCCGAGATATGTTTTCTTATTAAACCAATCACCACTTTATTCGCGGCTTCTACTTGACCATTTGCTTATGCATAATATGGTGTTGAAGTCATCCATTTAATTCCTCGAGATTCAGCATATTGAGCAACTTTTCGACCTGTAAACACTGTGCCTTGATCAGAAGTGATTGTTTGGGGAATCCCAAACCTTGTAATAATATGATCTTCGACAAAATCGATTATATCTTTTTGCTCGACTTCTTTTAATGGAATAGCTTCAACCCATTTTGTAAAATAATCTATGGCCATTAATATATATTTATGATTTTTCGAGGAAGGTGGATGTATTTGCCCTATTATATTGATTGCCCAACCTCGAAATGGCCAAGGTTTAATAATCGAATGTAGTTCACTTGCAAGTACCTTTTGTATTGGTCCATATTTTTGGCACTCTTCACAGCTTTTTGCGAATTCAATACAATCTTTAATCATAGTTGGCCAATAAAAACCTTTCCTCGACAACACCCATATCATCTTTTCACCTGCTTGATGTGCTCCACAAAGGCCTTCATGTATTTCTGCCATAGCTATATAACTTTCATGATTTCCAAGGCATTTGAATAAAACTCCATCGAAACCTCTTTTATATAATTCATTATTTAGCAAGACATAATTGAGGGCTTGGAGTCTGATTTTTCTTTCGACCTTCACATTGGGATTTTGCAAATATTCGACCAATTTGCTTCTCCAATCTTGTTGATTCAAAGAACCAACACTTAGAACCTCTAGATGGCCTATCAATTCATTTTCGGTATGAATCAGATACTCTAGACATTCCTTACTTACTTTATACCCTGATACCATCTGAGCCAATTCATTCGCAATGATATTCGAGTCTCGAGGAATATGTTGTAATTGAACTTCATCAAACGCGTTAAGTAACTGCACAGCTTGAGTTTTGGATTCAATTAATTTTTCGTTTAAACACTTGTACTCTTGAGTTAATTGTTTGATGACCAGTTGTGAATCACCTCGAATTATTACATTCTTAGCACCTAATTCTTTAAGGATCTCGAGTCTAGTAATGATTGCTTGATATTCAGTTTCATTATTCGAGTATCCTCTATCTATTTTGAATGATAACTTGGTAGGAATCCCTTCAGGTGAAATAATTAATAACCATATCCCAGTGCCTAATTCATATTTCGAGCCATCGAAAAATAATTCCCAAGGCTTGGTGGTTAAGTAATTAATTTCCTCAGTTTGTTTCGAGTGATCTGCAAGAAAGTCTGCAATTACTTACCCCTTAATTGATTTTAACGGCTCGAAAGTTAATGAATATTCAGTTAACGCAAGTACCCATTTGCCAACTCGAGAATGTAACACAGGTTTACACAACATATACTTAATTATATTACTTCGACAAAATATTACAACATCACAAGTCCTAATATAGTACTTTAACTTAGTACAGGCAACATAAAGACTTAAACATAATTTCTCTAAAGGGGTATATCTAGTTTCTGCTCCTACTAACATTTGACTTAAATAATAAATGACTCTCTCGATGCCATTATCATCATCTTGCGCCAGCATGCCCGCAATAGTCGAATCGCTAGCTGAAATGTACAACTTTAGTTGCTTCCCTTTAGAGAGTGGTGCAAGCACTGGAGGATGAGCCAAGTAAACTTTGATTTCATCGAACGCTTTATGGTGCTCCTCATTCCATCGAAATTCCTGCTCCTTTTTTAAACGTAGAAGAGGAGAAAATATTTTAGTTTTACCAGACAAGTTCGATATGAATCTTCTCAGAAAGTTTACTTTACCTAAGAGAGATTGAAGTTCTTTCTTGTTCGATGGAGGTTTAGTCTCCATGATAGCTTTCGTCTTATTTCGATTAACTTCAATTCCTTTCTAATGTATGACAAACCCCAGAAATTCTCCTGCTGTAATACCAAAAGCACATTTTAGAGGATTCATTTTCAAACCATGTTTTCTCATTCTCTCAAAAGATAATTTTAAATGGTTTAGGTGATCGTCTTTTTGCTTCGACCCAACAATCATATCATCAATATATACTTGTACAAACTTACCAATTAAATCATGGAATATTAAATTCATTTCCCTCTGATAAGTAGCACCTGCATTTTTTAATCCAAATGGCATCATCACCTATTCATAGACGCCTAGAGCACCTGGACATAAAAAAGCAGTTTTCGATACATCATTAGCTGCAATATAAATTTGGTTATATCCAGAATAACCATCGAGCAAAGTCATAATTTCATTACCTGCAGCAGCGTCTATCATAGTTTCAGCAATGGGCATAGGATACTCATCTTTGGGAGTTGTCATGTTAAGATCTCGAAAGTCAATACATACTCTGAGTTTCCCGTTTTTCTTCATAACCGGCACTATATTCGAGATCCACTCGGGATATCTTGAAGTTCTGATGAACTTCGCTTTCAGTAATCTCTCAATTTCTCCCTTGATTTTTTCAATTACTTCAGGAGCGAATCTTCGAGGACTTTGCTTCACAGGTTTCTTTCCTGGGATCATGGGTAGCCTATGCTCTACCAACTCTCGATCTAATCCTGGCATTTCATCATAATCCCATGCAAAGCAATCTTTGTATTCATGCAAAACTCGAATTATTTCCTCCATTAACTCCCCTTGCAAGAACTTGCTGATATAAGTTACTTTCCTATTTTCGACAGTTCCCAGATTAATTTCTTCAAGTGGGTCTTGGGATTCTAACTTATGTTCTTCATTGGCGGCCCTTTCGAATCCCAGGGGCGAATCATCGAAAATACAGTCTAACTTGGGTTCTAGTTCTTGCTCTTTGCCTTCTTCTGATTGTTCAACCTCCTGGTCTCTTTTTATTTTTTCTTTTTCTGTTTGTCTCGAGACAACTTGATCCCGGTTTTTCTCTGTTTTTTCTTTTCCTTCATTCTTTTCGATTCCGAAGTCTATCTCTTTTTCTTTTCTTTTTTTGTTTTTTATCCTTTTCGACCTCGAAATCTATTTTCCCTTTCTTTTTTTTGTTTTTCTTCGGCCAAAGTGACCATGCCATTTTTATCAATTTCCTTTGAACATGCCTCCTCACCTTCGTTTTCCTCGGCCATGTTGGCCGTTCGATCGGCCACATAGGCCAATATTCGAGCTAAAAAGCTCGAGTAAGGATCTTCACCCTTCATTCATCGAGTGGAGCCAAATCTTTTTCGGCTCGAATCACAAATCCTTTTTTCACGTCCCAGCAAAAAGTTTTCTTAATCCCTTCTTCTTCATCCATCACTCCAGAATTGTAAGCATCGAAAGGCTTAGTCTTTGCAAATGCTGTCAATTGTTGATCAGCAAAATACATACCAACTTCATATGTTCTCTGGTCAGCCTCGAGAACCTCCAACCCTTCGTCATCGTTCCAGAAGAAGATCTTTTGATGCACCATGGAAGGAACATCACCTACCCCATGAATCCACTCTCGACCTAGCAAGACATTGAAATTCGCCTTGGATGGCGTCACTATAAACATAGTGGTCCTCTTTACACTCCCAATCTGCACATCAAGCAGAATCATGCCTTCAGGGTGCGAAGATTTTCCTGCATAGTCCGAGATCATTATATTGTGAGGCTTCAAATCAGCCAAGGATTTCCCAAACCTCTTTAGCATTGTCTTGGGTAAGATGTTCACAGCTGCACCTCCATCGACCAAGACCTTATTCACCTCTTGCCCCTCGATCATCAATGTCAACAATAGGGGCTTAAGGTGTCCTTTCATTTCCTCTGTGGGAGAGTCGAACACAGCAGAATTGAATTTGGGGATAACCCTCGAGATTTGATTGACCCATATGATTTTGGATTCATAGTTGGGGTCGTCGAAGAAGTCTTCCCTATGGATATCCTCTTGTTCATTCACTGACTCCATAGCCCCAGCATACTCGGAGGGTAGAATGGAGACTACTCCACAAATATCTTTTAGGGAGTCCTCAAAACCACTCTCGAAACAATCTGTAATCATGTCTTCATCATCCTCGATGAACTTCCGAGATGATTCCCCTTTCTGAGGTACCGGAACCGAGAAACAGTTTCCTCCAAGACCCTCAAAGGTAGCCTTCTGCATCCTTTGCTGTCTTCTCCACTAGGTTTTGGTCAGATTGTTGAAAGGCTGTCGAAATCCTCGCCCATAACTTCCAGTTGAGAACTTCCTAGAACCTAGAGCCATATTTGAGAACTTCCCAAGATTTCCTTGTACTGGGTTCCTTGCATAAGTCATCACTTGCTTCCCTCGACCCATTCCACCAACCATGGGTCTTGGCGGTGCATTCCATTTGCTAATAGGAACATTTGCATTTGGCACGAAAGTGTTGCCAAATCTCGACGAATTGTACATCTCCATCTTTCCTACTGGAGCATTGTATTGAGGCATATGAACCTGCCTCATAGTTAACCCAGCATTTGATCCAGCATTAAACTTGGGCTTTTGTCGAAGATTTTCAGCCTTATAGTTCCTCATCATATTTGATTCTTCAAAGGCTCTAGCAGCAGCTCTATCGAAAACAGCGCTGCATCGGGGGCATAACATTACTTCCCTATCAGCCTCTTTCTTTTTAGATAAGAACTCGACTAAGTTATCTCCCTCTTTAGGGTAGATGGGCTCCTGTTCCTTAGCAAAATCTTCCATTAATTCCTCGAGCTTCTCATCAGAAATAGGCTTAATGTTCTCATCATCCTCAACAGCAACGTCCACCATATTGATCCCCATTGTCACAGGTTCCACATATCCAGTATGGGCAGCAAATGGATCAGTGTCCACTTTCATTTCCTTTTCCTCGAAAGCAAGGCGATCATCAGTAATCGCTCTCTCGATCAGATCCCTGAAACGTACACAATTATTAGTCCAATGTCCATACATATTATGATATTTGCAAAATTTCTTCCCTTTCCTTTGCTCGAATGGTGGGATTTTATAATTTTCTGGGAGTACAATTTGTTTATCTTTTAATAAGATATCAAATATCTTTTCTGCCTTACTCACGTCAAAACTATATTTTTTAATCGAATTTCCTTCTATACTATCTCCTGGTTTTAACATCTGACATTGGTACGTAGGACCAGGACGTAACTCTGCTAAGTTAATCTCAAAATCTTCACTCGAAATCTCATAACTAGGATCTTCACCGAATTCAGAATTTTCCAAATAAGCCATTTTTTCTTTTCGAATAAATTTATCAAACTTTCTTAGCCTTTCTTTTTCGAGCTTTATCTGTTCAATCCTCCTAACCTTTTCGGCTAACTGGGCCATATCTCTCAATTGCTCATTTACTAACTTCTTACGTATCGAGAAATCTAACCATGTTGCTGCAATCCTAACTAGTTCATGTTCAGGTATATTAGTATAACATCGAGATTTTAATTGCCTGAACCTATTTAAATAATCATCTAAAGTTTCATGGCTTTGTCTCTTAATGTTCATTAGATCGACTATGCTAACCTTCGTTTCTTCTCTGAAGAAATGTTCATGGAAACTACCTTCTAACTGAATCCAAGTGTGTATCGAATTAGGGGGCAGAGTTGTAAACCAAGTAAAAACATGTTTAGTTAACGAACTTGGAAAATACTTCATCTTTAAATATTCATTGTTCGCTAAGTCCCCACATTCGACTACATATCTAGCTATATGTTCGACTGTAGATTCAGTTAATTCTCCCGCGAATTTTGAAAACTTTGGGATTTTTACTCCTCTAGGTAGTTCTGCTTAGGTTACATAATTAGGGAAGGCTGACACAAAATAAGGACGTTCGTTTCGACCTACGTCGAATCCATATCTATTTAATATCCTTTCTACCATTTGATCTAAGTTATCATTGGGATTTCTATTAGGTCGAACTACGTTCTGGTGAAAATTCCCATTCCCGCCAAGATTTTCAAACTCATTCAGATTCGCACTCATGGCTCTCGAGGGTGGCCCATCACCTAATTTATCTCCTATTTTTTTTATTAATTCATACAAAGGAGTCATTATATTATGCATTTGGGTTGACAACAGATTAACCATGTCATGATTACTATGATCCATCTGTTGTCGAAGAGCCATCCTAGCTTGGTTACTAATACCAGTAGGTATGTAACTACCCTGTCGAATCAGGGAACCCTCCTAACTTGTCCCTACATGTTGATATGGGTCATGCATAACAAAACCCATGCCATTCGGCCCAGGATTATATCCCTGTGGGGATACATGCATTTGTGAATTAGGTCTTATTAACGGTATTGGCATTTCGACATGCACAGGTTGGGTATTTCGCCAATTCTGTGGCATACCCCAGGGATATTCCCTAGTGACATTCGCTAGTTCCTGAGTAACATTTGTTTGCCTAGCTGTGTTTTCGCGTAACACAGGGGATGAAGACGTTGCCCCCTGGTCACATTAGTCACATTATCGGGATTGAAATTTGCTTGCTCTACATCTACGTGATTATTATTGTTCGTTCCTGTTTCTCTATTAGATGTAGACATTGTTCTTACACTCCTAAGTCTCATGCAACACACATACCCAAAACTAGTCCAATTATGTTTGATTTAAACAAGTCCCACTGGGCGTGCCAATTTGTTTACGGTGGAATTTGTTTTATGGATTCTTTTTACTCGAACTAGCACGTAAATGGTTTCAATTTAGGTATTTAATTTGAGAACAGAAGATGGAGTAGGCAAATTTAGTAATTACTTGTTCCTAAAGATTCTTCAATAATAAACAAGCAATAGTTTCCAGATATATAAATGCGAACATGAACACAATGGATAATTGAGATATTTGCAATACAAATCATGGTTCAACTTGCATAATGTTCCAAATTTACAATGCTAAAGTAAGATAACTACGTGGATTAAAAAAGATAAACTAAGAAAACTACGCTAGTTCTACTCCTAAAAAGAAAGAGAAAAGTGGCCGAGAATTAGTCATACCCAAAGACGATTCTGTGCACGAAAGCCATATGCGCAGGCGGAGAGTGCTTGAGAATATAGTTCTAATAGTATGAGTTTTTTCGACCGTTGTGACAATGCAAGCTACTTGAATTTATAGAGTGAATCAATGACGGTTAACTCACTCAAACGCTCGTGCATGTAGGCCATTATGAGATAACCGCTACCCACTATGCTCATTATGTGGCTTCTAAAGTGTAACTTCCCATAACCGTTCTTCGCGTATACTAACTTCTCGACTTGGACGCTAACTGTCTTTCACCAAATCTCGAACATTGTTCAACTCGAAATAATTGTCTTCGATCTCGAATCAACTGTTATTAGCAGGAGTTGATCTCAATATTTTTCGAGAAGTTTTATGTATGCTTCAAACTTTTCGACTATATTTCTAGCATGAATATATAAAACTCCTAATACGTTCCAGATAGGTGTTCATCCTCCTCCATCTTTCGATTAGCTTCATAAGTACATCTTTCGATTTCCCTGGTTTTCGAGTAGTCTCAACAGTATGGAAACTCTTTTGTACTGATCGAATAAATAAAATAAAATTTCTTTTCCGTAAAGGACTTTGAATTGAAATGACATGTATCTCCTATATGCTTGTATATATTATTAAATTTGTGTTTGATTAATTAATGAGTTAATTCACTACAATAAAATAGATTTTTAGTGGTATTTAATATGACTTTTAGTGGCAATTAAAATTGTTACAAAATCTTTTATCGACATTTCATACATTAGTCATTGTATGCAGTGTCGCTAAAATATTTACCTGTAATTACTCTATATGCTGGTAAAGACCCTCATAATGGTCGGGAAAAGTGAATAATTTTTTTGTGTCATTTATTACTGGCATTTAAAATTGCCGGTAAAAGTTTAAGAAAAGATTTATAATACTCTTTAATTATCTTAGGTCTATTCTATTTATTACTTTTAATATGATTACAAATACTCTTTAATTACCTTATTTCTAATTGATGTGGGACTTAGAAGATGAAGGTTATCTTCTAAGTATATATTCTTTAATTTTTTTAATTATATTATCTCCTAAATACCAACTTAGAATAGTAAGTTATAAGCTTAACTCAACCTTATAAAGCAGACTTGTAAGGTGAGAGTTATTATTCACTTATATACTCTTTAATTATTTTATTTCTAGTCGATGTGGGACTTAAGTTTTCTCTAACAAATAATTGTCACTAATAGTGAATTTTGATGTGATATAAATACATTTTTAGTGACTATTATATAATAGTCATTAATATTTTTATTAAATAATAAAATAGAGGCAATTAATTTATTGTCATTAAATAATTGTCAGTAATACTAAATTTTGTTGTAGTGTAATCACTTATACACTGTTAGTGTAAAGTTTTTTATACTAGCAACCAATTAGATATTTTAATTGTGTCAAGTCACTGTTAAAAATAAATGTGTTTATAGTGACATGACACAATTAAAAGATGTGATTAATTGCCAGTGTAAAAAAATTTTACAGTGACAATATATAGATGATTAAATCTTAATTAATTATCACTTCATTGAGTCTCTACTAAGAAAGACCAGAGGGATAATGAGGAAAGAGCTTATGAATTTAAGGAAACTTCAATGCAGCATAGAAGAATCCAAGGGAAATTAGTTAAGTGAAAGCAAAACAGTGAAAACTCAAACATGGTATACTTTGATAAGTTAGAACAAAAGAAAATAACAATTTATGAGGGTTAATTGTCAAACACTTGATGTCATATTTCTAATTTTATATATTAAATTAAATTTATATAATTTTATAAAAATGTTACAAAAAAAAGTGTTAAATGAATTATATTGCTACCCTCGTCTGAATAAATCCATTGTTGGTCCATCTTGCCTTTAATACTTACAAATAAAAGTTCTGTCGCATTCACAATTAGTGTCTACGGACTAACGCAATTTCTCCCCTATAGTTATTTTCTCTTCTCTCAATTTGTATGTTCATTGTTCAGACACACTCACGTGAGTCACTCCCTTTCAATTATTTATGGTATATTAAAATAAAAAGAAAAGAAAAATATATAGCAAAATATCTTTTTTTAAATTAAAAGGAAAGTAAAAAATCTATTTTAATACACACAAAAAAAGTTTTTAAAAATTCATTTTTTTTTCTTCTGTTGAACCATTTAATTTTTTCTCCACCATACAACAGAGAAGGTGAAGGAAAAATGCAGTGTTGGAAAATGGCAGATGCAATTATGCAAACAAGTACCGTACGTTATGTGAGGTCAAAATGAGGTTTAGCCTTATCCATCCAGGCTTACCCCTAAAATATCTGTACGCGAACCAATCAAAGCTATTGAAGATCTCTTTGGTCATCGTGGCCAAAAGGTACCTGTGGATCTAAGAAGAATTTTAAATGGAAAATGCTTCGGCCCCCGAACGTGATTAGCGAAATTCTCTCCGAACAAATAAAATAATAATTTAAATTATAAAATATTAAATTTAATAATTATTTATAATAAATTTATTAAAAAATATTAATATTTTAAGAATTCGGATCATAATTCGGAAATTGTATAGCATAACTCATTTTAAATAGAATTGTTACACAATCCGAACGATTGTCTGAATTATTGTCCAAAACTTTAAAATATTAATATTTTTTTAATAAATTTATTATAAAATAATTATTTAATTAAATATTTTATAATTCAAATTATTATTTTAATGATTCGAAATGAATTCGCCACACGCATTTGAAGTCTCAATCATTTTTCTTTTAAATATTACAGCGTTCGTTCGGAATCTCAATCATTTTTCTTTTGGGCTCTGGCCATTTCCTTTCAAAAAAAATTTTCATCGGAGACTATTTGAAAACTAATTAATTTTATTCTTAGAATATAATTCTCTCTTTTAAATAATATTAATTAATTTATTAAAAATTAATTTAATATTTGATATACAATATAAACTATAAGTTATTAAATAAAATAATTTTATGGTATAGTAACTTTTAAATAAAATGAAAGTCATGATTGAAATTCAAAAGCAAGATATATTTTAAACAAAATTCAGAAATAAGATAAGTGGTGTGTAATAAGTAATTTTCTTTTTAATATTTTTCTTTAAATTTTAAAATCGACTATGGTATCCTCTACTTTTATTTTTTATTATATCATTGTTTGCTTTTGCTTTTTTTTTATTATTTTTTTAAAAATTTTACTGGTTGACCATAAGTTTCTTTTTTTTTTAATTAAAATTTTAGAAGGCAACAATTGCACTTTTTTTTAAGATGAAAATATTTTTAAATAAGAAATAGTTTTTAAAATATCTCACACGCTAGAAGTCACTTAGAAGGATAATATTTTTCCAGTCCTTATTACACTTTTAAACAAAATAAAAGTCATGTTTGGAATTAAAAAACAATATATGTTTTAGACAGAATTTAGAATTAATATAAGTCGTGTTTGAAATATACATAAAATGTAAAATATATATTAGATTTTTAATTTAAAAAATCGACTATGAAGAATAGATATTGACATTGTTGATTTTCTATTTGAGAAATTCTATGGTACCCATCTTATTTGAGAGGGTACCGGTACAGTTTTTTATATTTTATATTTTTAGTAATTTATTTAAATAATATTTGTGATATTTTATCCTTTCAAATTTTAAATTATTTAGTCATTTTATTTTTATTTTAGATATTCTAATTTATTTGTAATAATATTATTATATATTTAAATAGTTTAATTTTAATAATTTTTTAAGTATATTTTTATCTTTTCACTTAAAATCTTTGAATTTTTATATATTAATTTTAATAATTTTTTAAGTATATTTTTTGTCTTTTTGTCTTGAATTTTTGAATTTCTATATTGTAATTTTGATAACTTTTTATTTCTACTATTTATTAATTTTTTTTCTTTTTCTTTAATATTTTATAATATTATTGAAAACTTATAATTTTAATCTCTATAATTTTATCTTACTTTTTATTTTATAAGTATAATTTAGATTATTCATTTTATAATTAAATTAATTTTTTTAAATTTCTTTATAAGTTTACGTAGAAAAATATATTGAAATTCCTCCATCTTTGAGGGTACCGTAGCAACTCTCTTTCTATTTATCAAAAATAATAATATTGTTTTTACCGGAGATCAGTCGTAGGGGACGATCTGCTGGGTAAGATCGGTGAGCCTCCTTCACTGGGTACGCTTACTGTTCCAAGGCGGGGGTGGTACCTGCAAAAGAGACTCCGATGCTAAAATTAGTATTTATGGGTGTATGAGTTTAGTATAAGTAATGCACGTACCTTTGTGTGAATTTAGGGTTTTGTTGGGCCTTGGGCCTGAGATCATTTTATGACCTATTTGGTCGAGCTGATGTGGTCTAGCGCGTCGAGCTTGGCATAGCGGTACGAAACGGATAGTACAAATATTATTTTGATTTTTATAAGCCAAAAACTTATAAATATTATTTTAATAAATTAATGACTCTATTTTTTAAAATAAATTTAAATAAATCAATTATGAAAATGACAAATTTTCAACTACATCAACTACACCATTATCGATTTATCTCTTTTATGAAAATACAACTGTTTTTTATTTTTTACCAAACCTTAAATATCGTGTCGAAAAGCGTGTAACTTTATATTATCCTTATTGAAATAACAAGAACACTGTCGTCTCATGTCGGAAACCTTTAATAACTGTTTCTATTTATCCATGCATGTCGGAGACAGGGATACATTCATAACGAGAGTTGCATTAATCTGCGTGCCCGTTCACCTATGAATCCAACAATTGAAGGAACACTCACTGGATCTAATTGCCTTTAGTTTATGTATATATATATTTGTGCCAGCAAGAAGTTGATATCATAGTCTCATAATATTAAGCAATCATAAGATCCTCCGGCACCATGCACCGGGAAAATCCTTTGTCGCAGTCAACAGTACCATTTACCTTCACAATCTTTGGTCTATTGTTATTTATCTTTGTTCTTTCAACCATATCAAGAAAGCGCAATGGTGCAACTAAAAAAGCACCTGCGCCACCAGAAGCTAGCGGTGCATGGCCTCTGATTGGCCACCTCCACCTCTTAGGTGGCTCAAAACCACCTCACGTGACGTTGGGCGACATGGCCGACAAATATGGCCCCGTCTTCACCTTGCGTCTTGGCACTCACAGAACCTTGATTGTCAGCAATTGGGAAATGGCCAAACAGTGCTTTACTGTCAGTGACAGAGCCTTCGCCAGCCGTCCAAAATCTCTAGCCTTTGAAGTTATGGGCTTCAACTTTTCCATGTTTGGGTTCAGTCCCTACGGTTCTTATTGGCGTCATCTACGCAAAATTGCCACGCTGGAGCTCTTCTCCGCTCAGCGGATAGAGATGCTCAAACACATGATGGAGTCAGAGGTGAAGGCATCAGTGAAAGATATTTGGCTGAAGAAGAAAAACAGCGCCTCCGAGAAGGTAGAGATTGAAATGAAGAAGTTGTTTGGAGACATAACGTTAAACGTTATTTTACGGGCGGTTGTTGGAAAACGCTTAGTTAGTGAAGATGGTGATGATGATGAAGAGAGCCAACGGGTCCGCAAGGCGATGGGGGACTTTCTTGATCTCAGCGGGTCATTGGCTGTCTCTGATGTTATTCCGTGTTTGAGATGGTTGGATTTGGATGGACAAGAGAAGGAGATGAAGAGAACAGCGGAAGAGTTAGATGAGATCGCTCAAGCTTGGCTCGAAGAACACAGACGCAACAGGAATAGCGGTTCTGTTACGCTTACGCACGATTTCATGGACGTGCTTCTTGAACTTGCTGATCAGGGTGAAGAGTTTGACGGTCATGATGTTGATACCACAATCAAAGCTACATGCCTGGTACGTCTCATCATTAATTTTAGGTTTCTAGGTTAGACATTTTATAAATTCATCTGTGTGCAAATAAAATTTGAACTTCGTTTTTTAATTCACCTTCTTCGTATAATAAAATAAAAAATAAAAAATAAAAAACCTTATTGGAAGTGAGTTGATACTTTCAATAGGATAACCCATCAATAATAATAATAATAAATCAAACAACAGCAGCATCATAAAGCTTTTAGATAATAGTTGTCGAACTTGATATTTAACTTTCAGTAACACTAACACATACACTAATTGAAAATTTAAATAAGTTTAACTCAGTAATTATTAGATTGAATTGACGCATTTGCAGATTTAGTACTAGTTCATTTTGAAACAAAGTACAAATTAACGATTAAAAATATGAATTAAAATTCCAGTGTATATACAGCTACACTTTTTTTATCGTAACATGATTTGTCATTTTGTCTGATTTCAATCTCGTTAAATTGTAATTTATCCACTTTTAACGAAAATTTCTTCCTTTTTTTTTATAAAATTTAAATTAAGATAAGCCACCATCCATAAAAATTTCATCATGTATTCATAAAATTTGAAAAGTTTGATGTGAAATCTTTATTAATATTTTCAACATCACACGTAAAATTTAGTTTTTATTCACATATATTGTTAATATCAAAATTATCTATTTTTATACACTATAAAAAATGTTATTATAGATACAAAATAAATATATATATATATATATATATATATAAATCTATTTAACATATAATTATATATAATTTATATTTACACTTTTAAATAATATATGAGCGTATATTATATCTAATGTAAAAAGTGATTTTTAATTAGTGATGCAAATGTAAAAGGGTTTTTAATTATTGTATTTTGTAGGTCTTAATTATAGCTGGATCTGATAATACAATAACGACATTGACTTGGGCTCTATCATTACTTCTCAATAATCGTGAAGTCTTAAATAAGGTTATTCATGAATTAGAGACAAAAATTGGGAAGGAAAAAATGGTAGAAGTATCAGACTTGAAGAAACTAGAGTATCTCCAATGTATCATTAAGGAAACATTACGTTTGTACCCACCTGCACCACTTAATGTGCCACATGAGTCTATGGAAGACTGCATTGTGGGAGGATATCATGTACCAGCTGGGACGCGTCTATTGACTAACATTTCAAAACTTCAACGAGATTCCTCATTATATTCTAATCCCTTAGAATTTTGTCCAGAGAGATTTTTAACAACCCACAAGGATGTGGATGTCAAGGGCCAACATTTTGAATTGATTCCATTTGGTGCGGGCAGAAGAATGTGTCCTGGAGTCTCTTTTACTCTTCCAGTAATACAACTAGCACTTGCTACTATATTGCACGAGTTTCACATTGTAACTCCTAATGAAAGACCTGTCGAATTGCTTGAACAAAATGGACTACGAACCATCAAGGCCTCTCCACTTCATGTCATTCTTACACCACGATTATCTGCTCATATTTATGATGAAATTTAAATGGTGAAAGATGATAAAAAGTATTTTGAATATGTACCACGTATGATTAATAGAGTTTACTCTGCTTTGTGAGGTTAATGTAAGTCTTTTAATTCAATTGGAATCCTACTTATGATGTACTAGTTTATTTCTCTGTATTTCTGTTTCAAGATGTAATTGTCAATGTATCATTTTCTTTTGAATTAATTAAAGGTCTTTATATCTTTCTTTTTTTTTGTAACATGTCTTCACAAAAAAAAAAATTCAATGGTTTTATTAAAAACAAACTCAATAAAATAAGCTAACATTAGGTTAAGTCCAATGTAACGAAGTGTGAAATTCAGTGGTATCAAATAGTTTGGTCTATAAGTCAAGATTTGGGTTATGGACTTGACTATCATTTGCTCTGTCTTTTTTGTTCTCTGTTACAGAAGTGTGGGATATAGATAGATGATTTTCTTTTCAACTCATAGAAGTTTGAAAGCAACATTAACATACATCTGAGGAATCATAGCTTCAAAGGAATTGGGAAGTCTTCTTTGAATTTTACTGTTGTTGGTAATAGTACAGTGCGGTAGAAAGTACATTTCAAGGAAGGTTTTGGCTAATAAAAACTTGATACTTAATTAGTTCAATGTGACTCACTTTTTTTTTTTTTTGAGAGTTGACTTAGGGTGCGCATATGGCAAATCATATTACTTTTCCAATATGCTGCATTATTTCAATAGAAAGGTAAGACAAAAGTTCTAGTTGTTAGAAATAACGGTTGGAAGACCAAGGACTGGTGGAAGAGTTTTAACAATGAGTTGGACTAGGGTAGAGAACTCTTAAGACTAAGGGTTAAAGGGAACTCATAGTTATTTTTTGTTTTATGTTTTTATGCTTTTTTTATTGGTAAAGTGTAGGACCTTGATAATTTGTATATTATGTGTGTTTTTATCATTTGATGGATGATTTTTTTTTTCTATCTAATACCTAAGTTTAACCTGTTTATTCTTCTTTATATTAGAAATATTTTCTTTCTTCAAATGAAATATATTGTTTCTCAGTTTGAAATGCATAGGTTTGCCATTACCTTGGTTTAGAAGATAACTGCTTTCCTTAACAAACTTTTTTGGATATTTTAAAGACTAGGTAAAATTGTCGTCTCATAATAATTTGGGTTTTTCCTTCAATGTTCTCAAACTTATGAAACTCTCCACTAAGACATTATTTGGATAACAACAATTTTTCTACAACTAGACAATGATCTACCTAAAAGTGTTGGTGGTACTCCAGAGGTAATTTTGGTATCTTACACCTAAGAAATTTACTTTCTACGAAATTGTGCAAAATTATGCATAGAAAGTTTAATAAGAGGAAAATTATTTGGGTCTAAATCGCTCTCAATTTTATTATATTTTTTATATTCTATTTCTATAGTACATTCATAGACATTTATAGACCACAAACTCAAGGGAATGAGAGAGATCACAATTTTTATACTGAGAGGGTTTTTCCCTCAACAAAGATCCATTTTCATCTCATTCTACTCATAGAAACTCTAACTCAAATTCATCTTTTATATATATATATATATATTAATATATTATATGGACAAGGAAGGGCCCACTTTGTGTGAAAGTTTGGCCGATGGATGTACATGACTTGGAAATGAGAGTTCGGGATGTCTAGAATGAGGAGCGTTGGAATTTGAGTTCTTTTTGGGCTTCTCTTTTAGAGGACTTCAATCACGTGCTTCTTAAACAAACTTTGTTTTTGTCTGAAGGATTACATGATTGCATTGTTTGGCAACCTGATTTAACAGGTAATTACTCAGCAAAAAGTGGATATAATTGGCTTACATTTGAAACCCGAACAACAACCAAGTGAAGGCAAGTGGTTATGAATGTGGAAGATTTATGCACCTGAGAATATCAAGTTATATCTCTGGTTAGCTTGGCATGATTTTATTCCCACCTCCTCTTTACTATTTAAGCGACACATCATGGGAAATGATAAGTGTAGATAGTGTGGCAGCCAAGAAGAGACAGTAATGCATTGTTTCAGGGACTATCATGAGGTGCAAGAAGTGTGGCAGATTTTACAGTTTGTAAGTCGTGACACATTTTATCTGATAAATGATTTTAAGATGTAGGTCATTCATGGAGTTAAGTTGGGAGGCGCATTATTTTTATCTACAATTTGGGAGATTTGGTCGGGTAGGAATCGATTGATGTTTGAAGGCAGTAAAACAAAGGCATGGCAGGTAGCGGTGACTGCCAAATCACTTTCAGAGGCTATGAATAATGTTTTTTTAAACCATGAGGTGAGTAGTAGTTTGCCAAAATGGTTAGGGTGGTTAGCTCCTTTTGAGAATTGCGTCATTCTAAATACGGATCAGAGTGTTATGGAAGACAAAGCTGGATTTGAGGGTGTGTTGAGGAGTTCAAACGGTGTTTGGATTCATGGTTTTTGTGGAAATGTGGATGACTTTGAGATTATTGGAGTAGAGTTGTTAGACATTCTACAAGGCTTACGTATTGCTCAAAGATTGGGCTTAACAAGAGTTTATTGTCAAACCAATTCTTTTGTTTCAGTAAAGTGGATTCAAGGAGGGGTGTCTCATATGCATCATTATTCAAATTTGGTGCAAGAAATTCGCAAACTGTTGGACAAGGATCGAGAAGTTTCTATATCTCATGTTCTTAGAGAATGCAACAAGTGTGCAAACTATTTTGCAAAATTGGGCCTTGGGTGTCCTGACAGATTAACTAATTTTATGGAGCCTCCTCTGGATGTTATTCCATTGGTTTGAGCGGATGCTGCTGGAGAGCATTTTCTGAGATTCTAGTTTATGTCTTTCTTGTTGCTTGTTGTTTTCTTTCCTTTTGGTATTTTTTAGCATCTTCAACAACAAAAAAAAAAAATATAGTAACTTATACTTTCTTCTTCCTATCTTAAGTGAAACTAAAGTATTATTAAGAAATTAAGGATAATCAATTAAAGAACGAATAAAACTATTATCCTCCCTTTAGTTGTGATCATAAATCAACGACTATGATGAATTTAGTCTTTATTTTATCTTTAGTAATTAAATATGGTTTAGATCTTAGAGCCTCTAATATATTATAAAAGCTATCTTCCAATTAAAGATGTAAATTAATGTAACATTTATATAAAATGAAAAGAAATTTTAGTTAAATGTGTGATCTTATAATTAAAATTTTATTTTTTATATCATAGATTCATTCATTAAATTTAGATTCTATACTAATTTCATCGGATTTTGTTTTGTGGAGGAGATATTTGGAGGGGGTGTATTGGATTAGGATTTTAAAAGACTTTTTTAGTTAAAAAAAATTCTGCAGATTTTAAAAGACTTTACAGGATTTTCATGACTTTTAAGATTTTGTAGGATTCTGCAAGACTTTAAATCAGGATTTTAATGGATTCTGCAAGAATTTTAAACCAGGATTTTAATAGATTTTACGAGACTTTGTGAATTTTGTAAAATTTTCATGGATTTTTGACATACGATAAGATTTCAAAAAAAATTTCATACATTAAAATTTAAAAAAGAGTTAAGGACAAAAATAATAAAAAACAACAATGTCTAGATAAATAATAAAAATAATAATAATAATTATTCATAATATCATATCCTCTTAATAGCATTCACCAACATATACATAGCTATACTAGTGCTCTAAGCATTATCATTTTCTCACTCTTGCTCCTGAGTTTGAATAATAAGCTTAAAAGTATGATCTTCATTAACAGGTAATATTGAAGATGAAGGATCAAATACATTGGCCATTATAAAAAACATGTAAAAATGGAAATATAGAACCGTAAGATAATTTTATATATAAAAACATTAGTATATTCGATACTGAGAAAATATTTAGATATATAAATTTTTTTATATAAACAGAAGTATTTAGATACAGCGAAAATATTTATATATGTATATATATATTAGTATTTTAGTTATATATTATATGATAATTTTTTAACAATGTTTATAAATGTAAATTATTCTAACAAATATTTTAACAATATTTCCTTTTTTTAAAATAAGTTAATGGAGGCATAAACTCTAAAAAATTAGATACTGTAATGTCTTATGTTAATTTTCTTTTTTTAAAATATAAAAAAAATCCTAATTTTATAATATAAAAATTTAAAAAAATTCATAGTAAAAAAAATAAAATAATTGTTGAGTCATAAAAAAAAGAGGGATAAGAGTAACAAACTCAAGGGAATGAGAGAGATCACAATTTTTATACTGAGAGGGTTTTTCCCTCAACAAAGATCCATTTTCATCTCATTCTACTCATAGAAACTCTAACTCAAATTCATCTTTTATATATATATATATATATTAATATATTATAGAGATCATGATATCAATTTCATCTTTATATATATATATATATATATATATATATATATATGTAAAGAACCACATACATACTACTAAATATGATTTATGAGAGTACATTTAACATCATATTATCATATCATGACAACACATTACTCAACATTCTCCCCTTTAATGTGTTGCTTTTGAACTCCCAAAGCTTCTTTTATTTTTTGAATTTTGTTTTTGGGCAAAGCTTTTGTGAAAATAACAACAAATTGGTCACTAGACTTACAAAACTCCAATTTCACCTCTTCTTCCTCAATTGATTTTCAAATAAAATGATGTTTGATGATTATGTGTTTTGTTCTTCCATGGTAAATTAGATTGTTGCACATAAAAATGATTGATTTATTATTACAATGGATCGTTACAATATATTGATTTTCACCAAAATCTTCAAGTATTCTCTTCAACTAAATTATTTGTTGGGTTACTAAGTCAGCTAAAATATATTCATTCTCTACAGAAAATTGAGACACAACTTGTTGCTTCTTTGCACACCATGAAAATACACTTGAGCCAAGTGAAAAAAACATATCTGTAAATGTTTTCATATCATCTATGCATCTTGCCCAGTCACTATCATAAAAGCCAACTAACATTGCTTCAGTTTTATTGTCATGTTTTATTCCATAGCTCAAAGTGCTTCAAATGTATCTTTTCTTAAATTTGTCTTTTAGCAAAGCTTTTGAGAAAATATCAGCAAGTTGATCACTGGACTTACAAAACTCATATTCACCTATTCTTCCTTCGTTGATTCTTAAATAAAATGATGTTTGATGACTATGTGTTTTGTTCT